ACTAACAAGGACTTTGAAAGTATTGACAAATATTACAACCTGTCTAGTTCGTTTTTTGGGGGTTTTGGAAGCTGCTAACACATAAACTTAGAAGATTGGCAAGGATCATGGGCAAATGCCCTGGTGGTGAATGGCGCACAGGCTATAAAAATAAATTAAAGTTATACACAACAAACCTCAAAAATATTTTTCATCTTACTTAACCTGTATTTTTGCTAAACGGGCTGAAAAACCACAGTAATAGCAGCCGTCTTTTCAGAAAAAACTGAATAATCCAGAAACTTCACTGTGGATTTAATTTCATCACAAATATCGTTCACCCAAAATGAAGTGACAGTTAGTTTGTTATAGCCACTAATATATATATATATATATATATATATATATATATATATATTAATGGAAGGGCTTTGCTACTCTAACTAGATAACATTTCTATGTTAACGTACCCCAGCTAAAGGCAACAGATCAGTTTCTAGTCAGAAATTCAATAACTATGAAGCATGCGTTATTATCAATTAAAAGAATGGTTTATTTTATTTATCAGCAAGAAGCAGTCAGTACATTGTTATTATTCTTATCAAGTTTGATCAGGCTACAGATATCATTAGATAACACTGCCAAGGTGGGCAATAAGCTAGTTATATTTAAATTATGTTAACTATCATTCAAGTCAAATCAAGCCAAAATTTATTCATATCGCCCAAATAAGAAACCACAAATTTGTCTCAAAGGGAGAAAAAATGGAAGAAACTTCCAGAGGAGCAACAAAGAAATAGTCCCTCTCCCTAGATATCATAGACACACTTTGACACTGAATAGTGGGTTAAAGACAGGTGTTACCAATAATACTAAAGCTCAGTACCATTTAGTGTAGCAGAGCCTTCCCAGTGAGCCAACATGCACAATAGCAGCACCCTGTTTGACCTGAATGGAACACAACCTTAATTAGCACCATTGGTAACACCTGTGTTTACTCACTATTTCATGTCTAAATGACTCCTGTGGGGAAAAAAAGTCTACTGTTGATACATTGTAGACACTAAAGAACCCAACTCAAATGTCTCCTAATTGTAAATCCTAATTTTAAATAAAAAACGACGTCTCTAATCCCTCGAAAACGGGTGGAGCTCAACACCGTAATTACCAGAGCACTGTAACAATGTAACGGCGTGACGAGCAAGCCTACGGTCATTACGGTAAATGTAGTCTGCGGAGCCTGTGTGTCCGACAGACCGGGGAGTTGCACTGAAAGACACGGCGCCGAACAGGTAAAAAAAAAAACCAACAACAATTTGACTTCTTTATTTATACAACAGTGTGATAATACGAGCGAATATGGTATGAATGGCAGTGGCAGTCCAAAAGCTTGTGATACTGGCGGTCGGAGGGAAGGCTTTAGCCCGGACAGTGAATGAGCATTTTAGCAGGCAGTGGAGCTGAAATGATGAGGTGCCCCCTTCCTCTGTGTGGATGGAGAAAGGGACGCATTGTTCATCTCACTGGAGAACTGGGTCTGGGTTCTTCTGACTCTCTGCTGTCTCATCTCTGTTTTTTTCAGCCAGGTTTAAATGAGCAGTGTTGCGGAATTTGCCTGCTATGAAAGCAACAGATCAATCAACCAAATCTCTCTGATAGGTAAGACGTATTGATTTTGCCTTGTAGCTGTCATTGGTCCAATTATAACACGCACTTAAAATGCGTGTTCTGTTCACGGGTTGAGAGGATAATGTCTGCATTGTGCTACATAAAGCCTCTACCTTATTGCGGTCACTGCGGGAACTTGCCTTGCTGCGATGGCATTGCACGGCTACCAGGCTGTAGCAATCCTATTACACATTATAGAGAAGCTATAACATGAGGTTACTGTGAGAAATTCATTGAGAAAAAAAAAAAAAGCCCCTGTAGAAATATATAAAAGTGGTTTATAACGTTAGCAACGCTGCCTAATGGGAGAGGAAAGAGAGAGGGGTGCAAATACAGGTGCTGAGTCATATTGGATGGTTCCTCTCAGATTGATCATTTAAATTAAACCCCAATATGTGCATTTTATATCAGTGTCATTGTCACCGATTTTAAGCTGCAGCATTCATGTTGTTGGATTTGATTAAATTTGAAATAATGTGTTAAATCTTGTTACATTAAGACCTGATCTCCTCATTGAACCCATTCTACATTATAAACCCTGCACATACAGCTAAGGCAGCCTGGGTTGGTACACCTCAGAGACATTTTTTTTTTTATACCTCATACTGATTGGATATTAAATGGTCAGCTTAAACATAACAGATCTAGGTCTTACACACTTGTAGGCTAATCAGTCCAGTCTCATTTACATACAGGGGCTGGGTATTGATTTCCGTCTGTCGTGTCCACTTTACAGCAGTGTGTGCAGATACATTTAAATGCCTGATGCATTCAAGATGAGGCGGCAGCTCGGAGCTCCTCCTCACTTAGTGATTGGGCTCATACTCCTGGAAGACCGTGGCTGGTAATCAATCGGTTTGTATCATTCCACCTTGGTCTGCTTTTTGCCTGCTGTATGCGTTAAGCACAGGAGCAGATTCAGCTGCATACCGACTTGATTCTTTGGCCATTACGTGCTCCTAGCCTAGACTACAAGGAAGGGCAGACGAGAGGTTACGAGCAACCATTTGGGAGATTTGACACCGTTGACGTCTGTAGTTTGTTGTATGTCTTTGTTGAAACATGGGACTGTAGCTTCTGCTTGGTCTTACATAATTTCTCTATGATATGATAGCATCTTGTGTTTGCAACTCTATGGCTGTGTTTGTATGTGTTTCATGCAAAAACTCAATTCTGAAGCTGAATACTTGATAGAGATTTTGTGAAACTTGCAGGCTGGTTTTATTGATTGTGTTTTTTGGTAAGGGCTTAGAGGGGAAATGAACCTCTGAGATTGGATGTGCTGGCTGGTCTTTTTCTCTAGCAGCAATATAAGTAACCATTTTTTTCTTGCTGAGTCAGAGGTACTTTCATTTAGAAACTCATTCTGAAACTGATTGTTACAAGCTGATTTACA